GCGGGGGAGAGAGAGAGTGTGTTCATAGATTGTAAGGAATATAGAAATAAATAGTTGGCAAGAAAAGAAAGGAATATAGATATAAATATTTTGGCAAGAAAGGAATGTAGAAGGGAAAAGAAGAAAAAAATAAGGAATATAGAAATAAATATTTTGGCAAGAAAAATAAATCGGGTCACCATCGAAACGCTTGGTAGGACACCTGCCGATGGATTTGGGAGCATCTGGAGTCCCAGGGTGAGAGGATGCTCGGGGGTTGTAGCGCTGTACGTGGTGTTTAGATTGTGCGTGCTCAATCAATATGGTTTTTGGAACGATTGAGTTCTGCTCAATCAATGTGATTTGGCTGATTTGACCTGGAACATGAAATATATTAATTTAAATTAAATGTCAAATTATCATAAGCAAATACAAAATAGTTTCCCATTCCATGTATTTTCAGTTATTGCATCTTTACTGTTTATCATAGGAGGGGGTGGAATGTTTTGGGGCAGAAATGCGGCTTCTCAGGTTCACAGTGTTTATCACGGAATACCAGTGTTTGTAAGAGATATGCGTGTCAGCTCGGTTATCTGTGCTCCTTGTCCTCTGATACAGCAGCACAAACCATTGGGTAACTGACAACCCCTTAGGTTGCAGGCAGTGCTTTGAAAAAAGAGCGCTATCACAGTGCACTACAGGCAGTCCTTGACTTCCAGCAGCTCGATTTGCAGCGATCCGCACTTGCGGTGCTCTGCATTTTACACCTACATTATTATGGTGCTGATCCTCGCACTTATGGCATGCCGTAAGTGTGAGGATCCAGCGCCATACATCGTTCAGTCAGTGCTCCAGCATCCTGTTATGCAAGTCCTGATGTGTAAGTTTCTTTTACTTCCAAATTAAAGTACCCAAGCTGCCCATTGTAGTCTATGGCTGTAATGCCTTTGCAGTGTTGAGGGGAGTTCTCTCTTTTAGCAAACCTAAGTAACAGAAAGTGAAATTCAAGCCATGTTCATTCAAGAACCTTGCAGCTTGTACTTGGCAATACAATGCAAGTCCTGATGTGCAAGTTTCTTAGTGCAAGTCCTTAGTGCTTAGTGTTAAGCTTTTTTATATTCAGTACTGTATTCAGTCTGCTGTTTCTCAGTGCAGGGGTTCCTGCTTAGTGGCTTCCTGATATTTCTTAGCGCAGGGGTTTCTGCCTTAAAAATGGCTGATTAAAAGGAAAGGCAGTGCTCTAGTGATGATGTGGGTTCTGATAAGAAATGGAGAAAAGTCATCACATTAGACGTGAAAGCCAACGTGATCAAGCTTAGTGAGAGTGGTTTGTCGCAAACTGAAATTGGTAGGCGATTGGACCTATTTCATACTACTGTGCAAACTATTATTAGAGAAAAGGAAAAAATAAGTGGTGAAATTAAAAGCTCAGCCTCATTGCAATCCACTATTATAAGGCAATGTGCAGGACTTGTGGCTGATGGAAAGACTTTTGATTTTGTGGATTCAGGATCAAACTCAGTGCTGTGTGCCATTGAGTTTAGCCACCATTCAAGCCAAGGCTTTGAGTCTTTTTGACACTGTGAAGCAACAACATGGCGAGGGATCCAAGGATGAAAAATTCAGTGCACCTAAAGATAGGCTTACCCTTTTGCTTGGCTCAAATGCTGCGGGTGATTTCAAGCTCAAACCCTTGCTTGTTTATCACTCCAAAAATCCCAGAGCACTTGAGGGTTATGTTAAAGGTAGTCTTCCAGTCATCTGGAAATCAAATCGTAAAGCTTGGGTGACTGGGGCCCTTTTTGAGGAATGGTTCACTGACTATTTTGTGCCAGCTGTTCAGAATTATTGTGAAAGGAACATCCTTGCACATAAAGCATTGTTAATTTTAGACAATACCCCTGGACATCCTGCACACCTTGCAGATTTAGACCCTAACACCAAGGTTGTTTTCTTCCCCCCCCCCACATCGCTGCTCCAGCCTACGGACCAGCTTTTAAGGCTCCAGCCTATGGATTGCATCTTTTAAGGCTTACTACCGTAGAAGAACCTTTGCCCAGGCCATCAGTATCACAGATCAGGGAGGTGGACCAACCCTCAAGGGATTCTCAAAGACCAACAACTTGATCTCTAATGCCTATGCGCGCTACAGGGAAATTTACAATGAGAAGAAGAGGGCAACAAAACAAACATCCCTGGATCAGTTTTTCAAAAAGCCATCAAGTGGCCCTAAGTCTCCTTCACTTTCCGATTAAATAGCAGATTTAAATATGGTGTTTATGGTCATTTGTATAAAAAGTTGGGCATCAGGCCCTTGGTCGGGAACATAACCCTCTATTATAACATTGTTTCTATGGGAAAATCAGATTCAACTTGCATAGTTTCGACTTACAGCGCCTTTTCCAGGAACGTAACCCATTGTAAGTGTGACGACTGCCTGTATTTGCCTTCTCTGCACTAGATTAGTACCACTTCTACAAAGACTATCATTCCTCCACTGGACTCTTCTTGCCCCCAGAGCTGTTATAATCGGCAACATCAGAAGGTCTAGTGCGTGTTGTTTTAAAATAATAAATAAGTCTGAGCTACTTTGATAATGATTTAATGAAAGTTCTTGCATGTTTGTTTGTTAGGAGTCGGGAGAAACATGTTGCCTCTCTTTTTTGCTCCCGTGATAAAAAGCCATTTGATTATTACTGGTTTGAATGATGAACGCAATTTCCAAGTTCAGTTTTTATTTAACCTGGACCGTCTGTTTTGTTATCGAGGCATGTTATTGCTCTCAGTTCAAGAGAACTGTAAATTTTTAATCAAAACAGCATGACACAGCAGTCTATAAATCTGTAAAACAGTAAATTAATTCACCTGCTATGGCAGTTTAACCTTGAAAGAAAATCTAAGGTTGAAAGGCACATGGATGTGAACACAAAGTAATTAAAAGCTATACTTTCACCAATATGTAACCATTTTCTTTTTTAATATCCTAACCAGTGTTTATTCTTCATATAAATATTACAATATCTGACTACAATCTGTCTTTTGTACCTATTTATATCATTTAATGTAAATGCCTGCTTGGTGCTACTTGAACTCTTGAAGACTATCTAAACTCTGCCATCCACTTTCTCCAGATCTATTCTTCTGCTACTCACTTTTTAGAAGCAACAGAGTTAAACATGTGGTGTCATTGCATTAGTGTATCAGTTATTAGACAGTCACTCATGCTGAACTGAGTTTTACTCACGATATACAATTTTATCACTTTCTAAATATTTTAATATATATCTGTAAATGGGAAAATAGCTATTGATCATAATTAAAAGCAAAAGTGGAAGGAGCTGTTGCAAGTACAAGACAGGTGCTGTGGGGGACAGGTAGTGTTTACAACATAAGACTTACCACCTGTCACCTCAAATTCATTTCAGTACTGACTGAAAGACTGTTGTTTAGTGGCTCAGTTGGAGTGAAATCTACCACTTCCTCATCTCTTGAGGTGCTCTTTTAGGGCAGGTTTGAGTAACACTTGTACTTGTGGGACATCATGCTACTGACTGGATGTTATCTGCACTACAAGTTGGCTGACAAGGTTCCTTGGGTGAATTTGATATCTTTTATTAGACCAACCCAAATAGCTGGAGAATAGTTATTAAGCAAGCTTTCGGGTTCAAAAACCCTTCGTCAGGGTAAGGAAGTTTCAGCAGTTGGTGTGTGCTCTTCCTGGATGGAATGAGAAGTAAAGAAGCCAGGGGCTGAGCTGGGGAGTCAGTTGCCAGGCAGATTATAATGTATAAAAAATCCAATGTCTTTGTTTAGTCAATGATCTCTAGTATCCAGGAGGTTGATGAAATGGAGCTCATAGGCTCGTCTCTGGGAAGTGTTGTGTAAGTTTCCCTTGAGGATCAGGACTGAGAGATTGGAGAGAGAGTGGCCCTCCTGTGAGAAATGTGCCCCCACCAGTAATTGGGTATTTTTGTCTTTGATAGATTTCCAGTGTGCATTCATTCTGGTGCGCAGTTGTTGCTTGGTCTCTCCTACATATCTTCCATCAGGGCATTTGGTGCATTGGATGAGGTATATTACATTTCTGGAGGTGCAGCTGTAAGATCCAGGGATGCTGATGGCTGTTGTGGGGTGTAGTAATAGTGGGGGTGGTGGAGATGTGTTGGCAGGTTTTGCATTTCTTGTAATAGGGTCTCTTCTAGTATGGGTTGCAATTGTTTGAGGATTTTCTGTATGGGTTTGAGGGAGGGGTGATATGTCATAACCAGCAGTGTGTGATTCGTGGGGGGTTTTCTTCTGTACTGCAGCAGTTCTTCACGTGGTATACGGGTGGCTCTTTCAAGCATGCGATCTATCTGTCTGGAGGAGTGTCCTTGCTGGGTGAAAGCCTTTTTAAGATTAGTGAGGCGGCAGTCCCAGGTGTTCTCAGTGTGAATTTGGTGGCATCTGAGGGCTTGGTTGTATATCACCGCTTCCTTGGTGAGTTTAGGGTGATTGCTGGTTCTGTGCAGATATGTATGTTAGTCTGTGGGTTTCTTGTGTAATGTGGTCTGTATTTTACAATTCCGGATGCTGATCATCATGTCTAAAAAGGAGATGTTGATGCTGCAGTATTCAAGAGATAGCCAGATGGAGGGATGATGATTGTTGAATTTCTGATGGAACTCAATCAGAGATTGCAGATTTTCAGTCCAAATGATGAACATGTCATCAATATATCTTAAGTATAGCAAGGGTTTGATGGTGCAGTCCGTGAGGAATTCTTCTTCCAGGTGGCTCATAAAATTTTGGCATACTGTGGGGCCATTTTGGTGCTCATAGCTGTGCTCATGCTCTGGAGGAAGTGTTGGTTATAAAAGTGAAATTGCTGTGTGTGAGGATGAAGTGTTATACGGTCAGTAATATCTTTGGGTCTGTACTCTGAGTTGTCATCTTGCTCTCATAGGTATGTAAAGTGGGATTGGATGCCATCCTGGTGTGGGATGTTGGTATAAGCTGGTAATGTCCATGGTGGCTAGGAGAGTGTTGCTGGGAAGGTGGTCTATGTTTTAAAGTTTCCGTAGAAAGTTTGTAGTGTCTTGTACAAAACTTGCTCGGTGGGTGACGAGCGGTTTTAGGATTCAACGAAACCTGATATTTCCTCAGTTAGGGTCCCATGGAGAGACCAAACAACAACTGCGCACCAGAATGAACGCACACAGTAAATTATGCAAATATATAATTTACTAAACCTCTAATGGGGAATCTTCAAGAGAAAAAGTCTATTTTTTGGTCTCACAACAGATAATTGACATCTGTTACCTGTTCCCTTGCGTCTCATCTTAGACCTTATCTTAAGAACACAGGGTAATAGCAAGTAATGATTCTTCTCATCAGCTTCTGCTTTTCAGGGCTTGGTTGGTCATTAATAAGACTGTCAGAGTCCATAATCTAATTATGAATGAAATGCTTAACTCTGAACAAATTGTACAGACCTGATGGAATGACTTCATTTGTCCTCTCCTGGTTTTATCTTTTTAGTGTAGCATGAGCAAAGAGTGAATTTTGTAGAGGATGTATCTGCACCCCTGGCATATGATCTCAGGTATAAGAAAAGTCATGTCATAAGTATGCATTTGTTTCAGCATGTCCATGTAGTTTAGTGTCTCAAGGTAAAAATCAGCATAGACATTTTGTTAGTGTATAGATTTTGCTACTGGTAGAACTACTAACTGAGTTTCCTTAGCTGTTGTTGGGCTAGGTACTGGAATCACTGAGATCTTGAAATAGGTGGCTTCAGCTTCAGTCTTAGGGATTTGCTTGAGATCTCAAGGACTGTAGGTGGTTTCTGGTTCAGTCCTCTATTCATGATTTGGAGACAGAACTGGAGATGGGAGTCTCTAAAATTAAACTACAGTTTAATCGTGATCAGTTCATCATGGCTTCTGTCTTGGAATCAAGGCTCATCCAAGTTCCAGAGTGATGAATCTCTAGGGTAGTAATATAGTCCTCCATCTTTGTAATATCTGGGCACCTCAAATTCTTTAACGTATATCCTCACAATAACCACATGAGGTGTATTATCTGTTGTCTTTCATACAAGAGGTTACTAAGTAATTTGTTCAAGGATTACAGGAGGCCTGTGGCAGAGCAAGGAACTGAATACCAGGTTCCAAGCCTTGTGTTAGTATATTAATGACTGGACTTCAATACACTAACTTCCTTCCTTTCCTTCTTTTCTGATCCTTCCACTTGAGAACATTCTGAAGCTTATTGCTCAGGCATTTGAGAAACGTTGCAAGTAATCTCTAGGACTTTCCCACAACTTTATTTCTATGACCTTTGACACACACACTGGCAATTACATGCCTCCTTCCCCAGTGCTGCTCTCAAAGTAGGGGTGTGCAGATTTAGTTCTAGGGAAAAAGGGTATATCACCATGGCAGATAACCCTGTCATACAAAATTAATGTACTTAGCAAAAAGTGTTCACCTGCCTACATTGTTACACCTGGGCATCAGTAGAAGGGTTTTTTATTTCCTCAGGAACTGGATCTGTGAAATCTTGACCAGCAGGGGTTTCAAACTGTGGGCCAAGTGATTAATCCAGCCCACTTCAGGGTTGTTATGTTGACTGTTTCTCAATGTGATGAACAGTTGATTTAAAATTCGGATAAGATAGAGCATTCTAGCTGAACTGACCACCTTTGTGGGAATGCTGCTGTATCAGGAGGTGAAGATGCATTGTACCTACTGGCTGACTCTCATCTAGTCTTTTTTACTGCGGTTTTGCATGTGTTTAGAAATTTGTGATCAGTCGCCCATGAGATGAATTTCTGTCCTTCACGGCTGAGTGAAAACAGTGGCAAGGTATTGGAGCTTTTAATGACAGGGATTATTAATGCCTTTTTTTTTTTTTTTTAAGAGATGCAATTCATGTTTAAACAGTTTTTAAGTCTTTTCTCAAGAACCTACACTTAGAGATTAAGAACCTTAACTTTTAGAATGACTTGTATTCTCAATTCTTGCCTTGTCACCATTCATATTACGTTAATATTATTCAGTATTTAATTTCCCTTTTTATTATTATTTTTAAAAGGTTATTTTTAAAAAAAAGAGAGGTTACCTACATAGAAATGACTTGGTCTGAACCAAAGTGGCCTTAACTGAGTTCTTATTAATGGAGTTGCCTATAACGCAGGTGTCTTAATATTGACATGCTTCTAAAAACCAAGGGAAAAACTGAACAGAAAAGCTATGCACGTATGCTAAAATGCTTGGTTTAAAGTAGTAGTTCTCAATCTTCTTAGGCTAAAGGCACCCCTCTGTAACTTTTGTGAATTGAACAGCATCCCATTAAAACCCCCCCCCAGTATTTATTGCAGTACTTACCTCCTTGCAGAGGGGCCAGGCAGTGTGGGTGGGGGAGCAGTCAAGCTGGGAGAACCACAGCCTGTCCTTAGCTGCTTTCTTTGGCACACCTTGCTTATCTTCTCTCACTTCCTGTGGCATCCTTCAAAGGATTGTGGTATCCCAGCATGTCCCAGCACCCTGGTTAAGAATCACTGCTTTAAAGGTTCATAAAGTAAAGCTACTGAACCAAATTTCTTTATACTTGAATTGTTGTTCTTTCTACAATGAAGACTGTAAAAACAAGCAAAGTCCAATGTTTCAAACTGCAGGTTTGGTTTTGTTTTCTTTTTGTTTTCTTTTTTTAACTAATGTAAGGTCACAAGCTTCATGCAGAATGGATGGGAAAAGGGTAACATATTCTATGTAACAAGCTATTTTGCTTGTTTTGATAATTCATAGATTGATAGATGTTAGGGTCAGAAGGGACCTCAGTAGATCATCGAGTCTGACCCCCTGCCTGGGCAGGGAAGAGTGCTGGGGTCAGACGACTCCAGCCAGGTGCTTGTCTAGCCTCTTAAAGACCCCCAAAGTAGGGGAGAGCACCACCTCCCTTGGAAGTCTGTTCCAGATTTTGGCAACCCTTATCGTAAAGTTCTTTCTGATGTCTAACCTAAATCTGCTCTTCATCAGTTTGTGGCCGTTGTTCCTAGTGACTCCAAGGGGTGCCCTGATAAACAGAGCACTCCCTATTCTTTGCTGCCCCAACCCCCGGTGAATTTGTAGGCAGCCACGAGGTCCCATCTCAACCTGCTCTTGTGGAGGCTGAAGAGATCCAGGGTCCTCAATCTGTCCTCATAAGAGAGATCAAATTTAGATATTTGTGGTCATTTACTGGCAACCACTATAATGCACGTTTGAGATGGCTACATCCACAACATATGCATACAGACAATTCTTTGGTGACTAACCTATCGGGAAATCTACCAATTATGAGCTTTCTTTTGCTATACTCTAGTAGTTTAGACAGGATCCTCAAATTGTCCTTGCACAAAGGTCAGGTAATGGGAAATAATAGAAACAAAAGCCTTTCCATCTGAGGTATTGTTTTAGTCTAAAACTTGAAACTCGAGCCTGACAAGTAAAAAAAAACCAGCATCATACTATACTTGGCAGTAATTGCAGGTTCAAAAATAATCTCAAACTTCTCCCAGGACAAAGAGACAAACTAAAATGCTGATGAACTGGCAGGGACAATGGGAACAGGCATAAGTCTCATTGTCATTATTTTTAAGATATGTACATGAGAATGTCCTTGGCTTCCCTTTGTGGAAAGGATGGTGTGAAGAGAAGAAGAATATATGCATGTTAGATTAATCCTTCCACTCCATCTATCTAATATTATTGACATCTGCTTTGGGGCAAATCAATCTCTTTGACCTTGTGATCTGGGGGGATAGAGGTCAGTACAGCCCACAATTAATTATGAGAAGTGGAATAAATTTCAAAGAAAAAATATTTCCAAGTAAAAGTATTGGCAAAAAATTATCCACTCCTCCTGGGTACAGGGAATGATGATGTTGGGTAAGGTTAAATTAATGAAAATTGAGAGAGGAGGGTGAATTTTTTTGTCACTGAGTCATTGGAGCTTTACCCCATTTCAAAGTGTCAAAAGATTTACAGCAGTGGCTTAACAAAAGGATCAGCTGACTAAACACACAAAATAATACAGAGAAAAGACATTAAGCTACTTTGAGCCTGTTCCTGCAAACCTTTTGCTAGCAAGTAGTCTCAGTGAAGTCATAGGTCTGAGTCCTTTCTAACTACCTAATCTGTGTTGCTGTTTATACTGCATTTATCACCATAGTAGCATTATAACATAGCACGGCAGATTGATTGCAATGGGTAAAACCATCAGTTTGGTGAACGCTTATAAGAAGCATATCCAGTTGCTCAGTGCAGCATTCTGCATGCTGGTGGTTGTAAACTCTGCCAAAAGCATATTACACAGAATCATTAATATTGCATGCTCTAACTTTTCCCATTTTATTTTTAGGTGGATATGTTGCAAATAGTCTAGCAATCATGACAGATGCACTCCATATGTTAACTGACCTTAGTGGTATTATTTTGACCCTCCTTGCTTTATGGTTATCTGCAAAAGCTCCTACAAAAAGGTTCACCTTTGGATTCCATCGCTTAGGTATGTAAAAATTTTGGATTTTACTATTAAAACAATGGTGTGACTAACAACTTGAAAGTCTAATTTTAGAGTCCTATTGTAGAGGATTAAATAATTGGAAGAAAATGGGTAATGCACATTTAAAAATAGCTTTACATTTTGAAGTCCTGATTCTCATTTACTCTTAAGATCTCTTTATACTCTTATAAGAAGTGCTACTCTATGCTACTGTTCACAGCAGTAGTACAGAGCTGTGCTAGTTTTATGCTACTGGGGAGTTCTCCTTGGCACAATGGCACACACATAATTGATCCGGGCCAAGGATGTATTGTTCTCTCCAGAGCAAAGTTGTGATAAACAGGGGGGCCTTTGCAGAAAGGTTATGCTGCTGTTGTCTGCGTTGATGCTCTTTGTATAGCCAGAGAGAGAGTTGTCCCTGGCTGTCAGATTGGCTTCTTTTGAGTACTAACCTCACTGCACTGTTTAATAGGATATAGAAAGTGGCAGGCATCTTGGCCTTAATTTTCTTCTTCTTTACTTCTTTGCTGTTCATTCAGATGCAAATTGCACGGAGAAGGCTTTGTTCCAGACAATGATATATCTTTTCAATCACTGTACTATTACAGCTCCTTTTAGGAAATTTAATGTAACGGTGATTATTTAATCTTCAGTTATGTAGCAAGGCATAGCCTCTTCCTTGCAAATAACTTAGTATTAATTATTGCCTATCAAACTGCTTGGTGAGAACTTGATCTCTCATATGGACAACAGTCATTCAGCATACAGCCTTGGCTACCAAGGGATTTTTTGAATATCCGAGGATACAAGGAAATACCTGTCCTGAGCCATTCCTAGAGAAATGCTATACCTGTATAAAAGCGATCTCGTCTTGTGTGGCTAACTCCAGTTGGAAACTTAGCATAGACAAGGCTTAGGGGAAAGTCCAAAATGATCTTGATAGTGTAATGTCACAAGCACAATACTGTCCTGAAGATGAGGTTTTGCCAAAGCGGGTAGGGGAAAACTCTCCAGGTAGAGACATGGCTGGAACTGAATGTGCAGCTATCCATCAGTGGTCAATAGTAACATGAGTTGTTTTAGCAACTAGGCCTCCTGTGCACTCCTGCGTTTTGGAAGATTATGTCTATTAGGCAAAGATCACTTCTCTGATCCGCCACAACCCCCATTCTTACAACAGCATTGTTGCTTGTACTACAGTAGCATCTCAACAAGTCCATTGTGCTAGCTGCAGTACATAGACCACAGAGATCTTACAGTCTATGGGCCAGATTTTGATACCTTTTGGTTTTGAAGTGCTGGTGACTTCAGCAGGCTTTCTAGTGAAATAAGTTAAAGGTATTTCAATAATTATGTAACCTAGTCTAAATATACAAAACAGATAAAGCGTGAAAGAAAGGAGGTGTTGCCTCATCTTATAATCAGGGAAAATGTTCCACAGAGAGATTAAATCACTTTCTGGAGATCACGTAGGAAGTGTGTGATAGCTCTGATCCCCAGGCCAGTGCCTTAACCACAAGACTGCTTCTTTTCTCAACTCCATGCTGTTGTGGAGTAGCATCTTAGAACTGTGCTGTGAGCTGTTGTGTCAGTTACCTCACCAGACTACAAAGAAGATCAGGGAAACACTGACTCTGGTACATACTTTATATGCCAAAGTGTTTATCTCAGCCTGTTACTAATTCTTTCTGGGACCTTCGTAAAGTTATTTTAAGTCTGCCCATTTTAGGCATCAGTAAAAGTAGATGCATATATAAAATAATTGTTTACCAACTTCAGAAATCTGTTGTGAATATTAATTCACTTTTTAAAGAACTTTTACAGTTATGAATAGGACATATTTTAATCTTTAACAGTATGAGATGCTACTAATAATGTCTGATTGCAGGTCTTGAATTGTAAATATTTTTACAGGAGCTCTCCAACTGTTATGCTCTTTATAAAATATCACAGCTGTTTCTGTTCATCTGGGATTTAGAATGCTTGTAAATTCTAAGTTTCCTATAGCTCAATACAATGTTAGACCTGAAGTTTACAATTGATATTTCAGATTTTATAATAAGTGGTAGAGAATTAATCAGCCCTATCACCCAGCCTTAGGCTATCAATTAGTCACTTAATACTGCATAATACTGTACAGCAGCAGTTTGGTGGGACTTCTAGCAACAAAGGGTCTGCCAGCATTTCAATTAAAAACTTTTCTTTCAAGAGTTTTTAATTTCGTGGCTTGAGCTCCCTGCAATATGACCTTCAGGCTTGCCTCGGAGCACTTCTGGGGGAATATGAATACATACAGAAGTTTGTGTGGTAGAATTTAGCACTAATGAGTTCTCTAGGCTTCATTCAAAACATTAGTTTTTTTCAGAGTTTTCTGTAGTAGTCAAGCACTAATTTGTCTGTAGAAGTGAATATGTGACCCAAGACCAAATTAAGATAAAAATGAAGGACAGCAGCCCATCTTCTTAAAAAACAGAACACCATTTCTGTTAAACTGTTCTCTTGAAAGTATGTGGCAGTTGTGGAAACCTGAAGCAAAGGACCCATATCTATTTGGGCTTATTTTATACTTGTAACAAGCATTTCAAGGTAGAGAGAGGAAAAATGTGTTTCAGGGATCTTCTCAGTATTTCACATGGAAGTCAATTTGGCTCTACATCAGATGTTCTACTTATATATTTCATTCAAGGATTTAAAATCACATTAATTCATGGAGCCTTGGAATACTGTGAGATTATCCAAGTACTGTTTTCTCCATTTTATTGCTGGGGGAGATGTGGGCATATTAATTGAAAGGTCAAAATGATCAAATTTAGGTTCCAACAGTTTTATATGCATTTGCTTGCCTAAGTTGAAGTACTTAAATGCACTCATTTTGGATAAAGTAGCCAATGTCACATGAGTGGACACTAGCAATGGAATAAAAACTCTTCTGCTCTAATCACTTCAGGATGCATTTTCTGAAACATCCTAGAGGTTGGAATTGGGAGAACCTTTCTATCTGAAAGGCTAGTTAAGTACTGGATTAGATTACCTAAGAAAGTTGTTGAAACCTAAGTAGAAATTTTTAATGGCAGGTGAGACAAATATCTGCCAGGAATGCTTTATATATAGTTGCTCCTGCTTTGGGACAGAGGGATGGGCTAAATCAGTAATGTTCAACCTTTCAACAGTGCGGGCCAGATGAGTGGTAAAGGGCTGATCTGCGGGCTGGATTGGGCCTTAGGGCCGAGTACCACCCCATCCCTATCCCATGATTTGCATTGGGTGCTGGGGATCTGGTGCCATCCTCTTCTGCCCCCATGTACTGGGATCTGGGGCCTGGTGACACTCCCTCTTGTCTCCTACTTACCAGAGTTGGATCCTGGAAGTCCAGCATTGCCTGCCCCCATGAGGCCTGGCATCATCCCGCACATGTCAGGGTTTGGTCCCAGGGGCCTGGTGCTATTCCCTCCTGGCACCAATACCGAGGTTGGGCCCTGGGGCCCTGTGCTGCCCTCGCCCAGTTCTGTATGCTAGGATTAGGTGCCCAGTCTGGTACACAGGGCATGGGGCTCCCCATGGATCTGGAATTTTGGCAGCAGGGGAGCAATGCCACTGCTTCCCTACTGCCAAATTTCTGAACCAGTGTGGAGCCCCATAGGCAGGGAGTTGAGTAGGAACCAACCTTTTTGGCAGGTGTGCCACATATTAGCCCTGTGCCCTCTCATAGTGCTACTGTGCCCCCCCTTCCCCTGACTGATTTGCTGCTTTGCTTTCTGGTTCCTTCCCCATGGTCCCTGCTGATCTGATGCTCTGCTTTCTGCTCCCTGCCCTGTCTGCCACTGTGCTGCCCTCCCAGATTTGCCATGTGCCACGCAGAAGCTGCCTATGGCACTTGTGCCACAGTTTGGGCACCCCTTGGTTAGATCACCTCTTGGAGTCACTTCTGTCCCTATTTGCTGTGATTTTGTACTATAAGAACCTTGTTATGAAATGATTTAAGACCAACATTAATCTGACTTTAATCAAATATATATTAAAAAGTAGAAAATGATTAAAAATCCAGTACATGGAGGGAGATTTTGGTACAGAAAATATGAAGTATTTTCTAAAACTCTGGGAACATAAGAAAATTGATGCACTTTGCATTGATTTTCTTTTTAGTTAATCTATTTAGACACTTATCTTGGCAATATTACAAGTACAGCGGAGAGTATTTCTAACGTTCAGAATAACTTTCATTCACAGATCCCTGAATTTTCAAAGCTCTTCATTCCCCAAGCCTGAAAGAGCACTTTTATTTGTAAAAATGTTTCAGCAACATCCTGCCCATTAGCACTATTGATTATCGATTTGAATTCTGGAGTAAAATTAGCACTACTTTCACCTACTCAGATTATCTTTAAATGCAGAATATCTGTTTGTGTCTTTGGCTTTGTTTCAGGTCCTGAAAGGTAATTTTATCAACTCCGGGTTTTGTAATGGTTAGAAAAATGTGGAAGTATAAGTGAAATATGCATGCAAGTTTGGAATGTGATGCATCTTTAAAATGAAAATTAAGTCAGTTTCACCAAGTGGAGATGTCCCCTTTTCAGCTAGTGACTGAACAGATTTAACCACAGATACTGAATCTGGCAGCTTTCCATTGTTGGTGAGACTGTCATTAACTCCAGAAATAATTGATCCATTTAGATAGAGCATGGTTAATTCAATAAGATGTGAAGGATTGCAGCAAGAAGAAATTCATAATTCCAACAGGATGGAATTTTTCTGAAAGCTAATGTGAAGAAAAGCACTGTTTTTGTAAGGATACCAACATGAATAGTCTGCCTGTTTCATGAAGAACCTCACCAAGTGTGTGGATAACTTGAGGACTTTTTTAGAGATGGCTGTTGCTCTGAAATAATCTAAGACCATGACAGTTTCCTCCAAGACCCCTATTACTGCCTGGTAATGTTTGTGTTCAGCCAGCAGTCATACAATGAACTGCTGAGTGCATTGGTGAGAGTTTCTTTCTGCCAACA